AACCTTTGTAGCCTATATAAGGGGATGAACTAAGTCTTTTAGAGGGTAATCAAAAAAATTATTTAGAAATACAAACCCTATAATTGGTTCTTCAAACTCCAACTTCTCTACTTCTTCTTTCTTTATCGTGGAATCGATTCAGCAAGAGGAACCCGACGGTTTCTGCTAGCTCATCACCCTATCTAAATAGTCCTTCGTATACCTGGACCTCTTCCCGACACGTGGATTTTTTTTGGGTTATTATCATGTTTGTTATCATTGTGTTTCTAATTGATCTTTGTTGCATTTCTGATTGTTTAAGACCATGAGTTAGAGCCTCGACTTATATCAGGTAGCTCCTCTTCCTTGGAGTGATGATGAGGATGAAGTGGTTGAAGGTGAAGTGGCGGTTGAACCAGAAGTGGTGACTATGCAAGCTCTGTGTAGTGGCAGCTTGGTAGGATGACTAATTCACTAGTGGTGCAAGGGGCGGGTAAGGCCAAATAAATTTTTTATATTGATGGACACGGGTAACAATCACACCTTCCAGAATCAGTTTAAGGTTGAGGAGTTGAAGTGCACTGTGATAGCAACTCCTCCCTTGTGGATTAAGTTAGCTAATGGAACAGTGCTGATGTGTAATCCACTTCCAGAGTATTCACTTGGGAAATGCATGGAGATTCCTCTTCATTCGATGTTTGAATATTAAATCTGGGCATACATGACATGATTGGGCAGTTGCAACTATTCTTTCAGTTCGATGGGCAGGTGGTGGTTTTATATGGAGCACAAGAAGTGTTATCTTGTAAGATCATTTCTGTCCAGGGAAATCAAAGGTTGTTGAAGAAGAAAGTACAAGGTTGGACAGGACACCTATTCAATATTGTTTAGGTTAAGCGACCATGTGGGATTCCTACATTTCTACTTCATTTAGTTCAAGAGTACTCGAATGTTTTTGGTAAACCCACCACTCTACTTCCCTCTAGACCATGTGACCATGCCATACCCTACAACCAAAATCCCAACCCGTTAAATTTTGAACTACATATATCCTTTGCCCAATATAGACATAGTAGAAAAAATGACACAAGAAATGTTAGACTCCAAACTGCATCAAAAAAGTAAAAGCCCATTGGCTTCACATGTCTTGTTAGTAGCTAACAAAGATGGAACCTCAAGATTTATGTAGACTATAGAGAGTTTAACTCCATCACTGTTAAAGATAAGTTTCTCATTCATGTCATAGAAGATTTGTTGGATGAGTTAAAGGGATCCAATTATTTCACCAAGTTGAATCTACTATCTGGATACCAACAGATCAGGATGTGTCCTATGGACCAAAACAAAACAACACTTAGAACTCATCATGGTCATTTCAAGTTTTTTTTTTTTGCCATTTGGATTGACCAATGCTCATGCTACCTTTCAAGACCTCTTGAACACCATATTTTCAGCCTACCTCGGAAATGACCAAGTTAGCTAATGGAACAGTGCTGATGTGTAATCCACTTCCAGAGTATTCTCTTGGGAAATGCAAGGAGATTCCTCTTCATTCGATGTTAGAATATTAAATCTGGTCATATATGACATGGATGGGCAGTTGCAGCTATTCTTTCAGTTCGATGGGCGGGTTGTGGTTTTATATGGAGCACAAGAAGTGGGATCTTGTAAGATCATTTCTGTCCAGGGAATTCAAAGGTTGTTGAAGAAGAAATACAAGGTTGGGTAGGACACCTATTCAATATTGTTTAGGTTAAGCGACCATGTGGGATTCCTGCATTTCTACTTCATTTAGTTCAAGAGTACTCGAATGTGTTTGGTAAACCCACAACTCTACCTCCCTCTAGACCCTGTGACCATGCCATACCCTACAACCAAACTCCCAACACGTTAATTTTCGAACTACATATATCCTTTGCCCCATATAGACATAGTAGAGAAATTGACACAAGAAATGTTAGACTCCAAACTGCTTCAAAAAGTAAAAGCCCGTTGGCTTCACATGTCTTGTTAGTAGCTAACAAAGGTGGAACCTCAAGATTCTATTTAGACTATAGACAGCTTAACTCCATCACTATTAAAGATAAGTTTCTCATTCATGTCATAGAAGATTTGCTTGATGATTTAAGGGGATCCAGTTATTTCACCAAGTTAGATCTACTATCTGGATACCATCAGATCAGGATGCGTCCTACGGACCAGCACAAAACAACACTTAGAACTCAACATGGTCATTTCGAGTTTTTCGTTTTGCCATTTGGATTGACCAATGCTCATGCTACCTTTCAAGCCCTCATGAACACCATATTTTCAGCCTACCTAGGAAATTTTATCCTGGTTTCTTGTGATATTTTAATCGATAGTCCAGATGAAACCATTCACTTAAAAATTCTCCAAATCACCCTTTTCATTCTCAGACAATACTTTTTATGCAAAACACTACAAGTGTTCCTTTGGCCAAAAGGGTAGTTGCGCAAGACAATAAGTTTGTCATGCAGCTTCTGATTCAATAGTCGCACCAGCAGGAAGAGGATGCCGCGTGGGAGTTTTTGGATGAATCGAAGAATAAATTTTCAGATTTTCATACTTGAGGCCAAGTCTGTTCTGAAGGGTGGAACTTGTAACAATTCAGAGTAGATAGTAAACAAATAGAAAAACAAACGGCTAATACCACTACAACACCCAAACTATCGCAAAAATTTCACTTGTATCCCGATTTATTCAATATTCCATTTATGTCTGGAACAATTTTTCTGTTAAAAGTTGACTCGTTTTGACCGTTAGTTGTTAACAGAAAGTCCAGTCAGCAGGTGACGTGGAATTTTAATTTATTTAATAAAAAAGTTAAAATAAAAAAACAATGAAAATAAAAATAAAAAACGTTTCATCTCCACCATTCACCCCCTCAACCCTTTCTCCCCCGTTCACCCTTCCTCTCTCATAGATCCGACAGCAACGAGCCTTTTACGACACTTGCTGCTACTCCGCTCAACAACGACAACACCACCATTAACGGAAACTTCTTGCCTCTTCTCGTCCCTAACCAGCTCCTCCCATGAATAGATTCAAGCAAGTAATGGAGAATGTGGGAGAGCAATGGATTGGGATGGCGACGATGGCAGAGGCTACCCAGCAACGTAACCTAGCTACCCAAAAATATAAAATCCAACACCTTTGTGGTTCTATTGGTACGATTGAACGGGAATCGATGTTCAAATATCCTCCCTAGAACCCGTCTATTCTATGCTCTGCAAATTGGGGAAATAAAACAAAAATTCAAAAGCCAAAAGTTGGAAGTTGTAGAAGAACAAAGGTCAGAGGAAACGCATCGAGGAGAAGAAGCGGGCGAGCGTCTCCTCGGACAAATCAGCATAAAAAGCACTACTGAGATCACTGATAATTGCGGGGCTGCTGCGCCAGAAGGAGAAATCGGTCCTGCTGAGGTGCAGAGAGGCTGACCGTGGAGCAGTGGAGTCAGTGCAGAGAGGCTGCCCCAAATCACCCTCGACAAGCTCAAGGTAGCACTGCGTCTATTAATTAACCCAAAAGCGATCAGAATCGATCGATGCACTCCTCTCTCTCCGTCACTCCAATCTGATCCAGTAACCCAAATCTCAGCCTCGCTACCTTGCAAATCACAAAGGAGAAAGGGGGAGTAGAGGAAGGAGAAAGCGACTCCCTCTCCGATCTTCTTCTTCGTCCAATGAAAACGAGCAGGGGAATCGGCTTGGAGATTTTTTAGAGAAAGAGAGGGTGAATCGATAGGGAAGAAGAATAATGAGAATTTTGGCTTAATAATATAATTGCATTTATAATTTTTTATTTTAACTCAAATTTTATTTAATTTGATTTAAAAAAATATGAGGTCAGTGACATGGCATTTATGTGGTAGCCACATTTTTTGCCACGTCAACAAAAGTCAACTTCGCATAGACCACCGTTTGATCAACCGATATCTTTAGCGATCAACGAAATTGACAGGATACAGATGACACAAAGTATCATAATTGAGGACATGAATGAAATATTTGATACAATAAGATACAAATTGTATTTTTTCGATAGTTTGAGTTTTGTACTTTGTAATTAGTTGAACGAAGTAGTGGTTGACAGCTATCAACCTATGAAAGGGTACTTAAGGTATCCTTTGAGTTTGTTATGGATATCAGAAATACAATAACCAATTTTCCCTCTAACTTTCTCTCTCCTTCTCTTTCCCTCTTCTTTATATGCAACTCTTCTTTTTCTCTTCTACTATCCCAGTTGAGTTGATCCAGAGAATAGGGTTTGGAGACGGGAAGAGAGAGGGGATCTTTTGGTTTTGGGGTAGAAGGAGAGATGGATAGTCATCAATGAAAGAGTAGCAAGCATATTCTTTAAATTTTTTGTTTTCAAAATTCTCACAAAACAATTTTGTTTGACAATTAAGAAAAGGAAGGGTAAATGAACGGTGCACAAGAAGTTTGTCATCGTAACCTATTTCTATTATTGAAGATATTCAACACAAGTCCTAATAGAGCACTTCTACTATGCTATATAGTATTGGTGCTTTAATGTACAATTTGAAGTTGTACCATAACATTAAATATATAAGTTTAGGTTGTACCATAAAGAAATTTGTACAATTATGTTATGGTACAACTTTACAACTTGAAGTTGTACCATCACATAAAGGTATAAATTTAAGTTGTACCATAAAAGAATTTGTACAAAATGTATAGGTACAAATTCAAATTGTACCATAACATTAAAGATACAATTTTAAGTTGTACCATAAAGACAAAAACTTATAACATCAATACCAATACTATATAGTATTGTAAAATTCTCATTCTGATAACCATATTACCGATCAACTAATCACATGTGATATGGGAATTTAGAATATTCCGTTGGAGTTCCATTTTCCATCACTACCAAAAACAATTCATCATTGAGCAGGGAAAAGATATTCAAATTGTTTTCCCTTTGCCTGCTTCACAATCACCGGAGACTTGATGATGGATATCAATAATTAAAGACAGCAAACAAACATAATTAAGAAAGAAAGAAGGAAAGGAAGCTTCCCAACTTTTAGTCGACATCCATTATCATCACTTCACTTTTCAATTCCTTACAAAAAGGGACAAACAGATTCCCATTCCCATTCCGATTCCAGTCCCCCAACTCTTCCCCTCTTTCTTTCCCATCCTCCCTTTCCGCTAACAATATCATAGACTAATTAATTCACCCCACCACTACATTGCTGACCCCCAAAAGCAGATTAATCAATCAAATTCAAACCTCCCTACCAACCCAACCTTCCTTCCTTCCTCTGTGGCAAATCCCAAACCTGCACCTGTGAAGAGCAAAATATGTACTGAGCAGTAATCAAATTCGCCACCCGGCCGCCGGCCCCAAAAAACACCCCCTCCGCTAATCAAAACGCCAGACCGACCTCCGATTCCCTCCGGCGCCATTATCATCACGTGGCGACGCCTGGTTCGGCCACGTAGTTTCTTCGGTCCACCTCCTCCCACACCAGCTTGGCTGTTACTTCATCATACTCGGGTTCATATTCCTGATAATCATAATTGCATTAACAACGAACATACACTAGTTTAATAAATTAATTGATCGATCGAGTGGGACACCACTTTCCTTCCTTAAAACTAATTAATGCCATTAAGCAATTATTGTGAAATGGTGTAGGAATTATAGCGACATCATTCAACATCGATCTGTTACCCCATCCATGCTGGGTTTGACCAAAAAAGCAAGTTCAAGTTGGCCAATATACTAGCCACTTTTTACACTATTTAATTTAATTGGTTTCTTGGAGTTTGAGATGAACCAGCTAAAAGTGTGTATGTACGTACCTCAAGTTGCCTGACTAATTCTTTGGCAGTTGGCGCGGACACGATAATGCGACGTGCCATCGGCGAGATGAACCCTTCATCCACAGCTTTATCGATGAAACTCAATAATGAATTATAGTATCCATCCACGTTCAACAACCCCACCTATCACGTTCAGCAATGAAGATCCGATAAACCCATTCGTGAATAATAAGTTGTGAATCAAATATAAAAATCAGTTGGCACTAAGCAACATTCCGACGCATTCAAATCGAACAATTCAATCAAAAACATGCACATCTTTTGGTGTGTTAAGTTACAATCTTTTGTCCATGTGAACTAATTAAGAAGGCGCAAGACACGTGTTGATTCGCAAGTTGCCGCTTGCCATCACAACACCCCAATTCCGTTCCACACACACAAACATATCTTTGATTTTATGGATTAGTTCAGTATATTTGATTAATTAACTGATAATCATGTGGTGGAACATGATTAAGATATGCCGTCAAACGATCCATCACTTAATTACGCAAAATTAAGTGGGGACTTCAACGCGGCCCAGCTGAGAAATCGGACAGCCGTGTACTCAAGGAAGTATTACTAATTAATTAAGTTGTTTTGGGTGGCTAATGGTTATTATATGTAACAATAATCATCATCAGAGGACAGGCAGTCAACATGACATCATGTGATCACTTTAGACCACCTAACAGAGCTTTTTAGGATCACTTATTCTATTGAACTGAATTCGCACCAGCAAGGCAGCGAGAAAAATTGCGATGACTATGTGAAAAGAAAGCAGCAATTAATGAAAAAGGGGAGAGCTTACGGGCTTGCGATGGATGCCAAGCTGAGCCCACGTAATGACCTCAAGCAGTTCCTCCAGGGTTCCGTAGCCTCCTGCAGATCCATTGATCATGGTAATTATATAAATAGATTGTCGGTTTTTCAGGTGACATGATCAGTCAATAAAATAAATTTAATAATAATAATAATTAATGATGATGTAAAGTAAATAGAGAGAGGGATGGGGCACCTGGCAAGGCGATGAAGGCGTCGGCTTGGCGTGCCATTTCGGCTTTCCTTTGGTGCATATCTGATACAGCTCTAACCTCTCCAACCGACTGCCCCGTTATCTGCAACCCAAAACCCAATTTTTTCATTAAAATAACAACTCCTCTAATTTCTGATTAATTACGACAAAGTGATATATATATATATATATATATGTGTGTTGGTGCTTTCGCAAGACAAGACATGTTACGTTACTCTCCCGCCACTATGCAACTCTGGCAGTTGCTAGCTTATCAGTACGAATGAGTGTCCATACAACTGAAGGAAAGCTAACGTTACTACTATCCAAATCAATTCAATTCAATGTACTCCCCCACGATAAAGGGGTTTTGCACATATTAATATAGCAGCTAACGTAACCTAGAAAAAGATGTATGTATGTATCTTGCACTTGCAGAAATGTCATCTTCTTCATTGTTAACAAACCAATAGTTATTCATGTAATAACCTTAACCCAATATTGAAGATGCTATGTACCTCTATCGGCATTAGGGTCCTCGGAATAACTCTGCACAGAAAAGGAAGAAGAAAAAATAAAACAGCCAAAAGATCAGGGGATGCAATTGGCAAGCTTGGGGGAAACAAAGTGAGCAGGTTGCATTTATTATTAAGAGTTTTTATTTTTTTTATTAAGAATTGAGGGCAATGAATATGATTAATATATGAGAGCATGCATCAAGCGAGGCTTTTTCAGATTCAGGAAAAATAAAGGCATGTGGGATTGGGTTGACATGTGTATGTTAAATAATACTTCCAAAAAAAAAGGGCCTCCTTTTCTGTATATATTTGGTTGACAATGCCAAAAAGTTTATTTTGCCTTTTACATGATTCTACAGTAGAGTACCAGTCGTCCTTGAATTCTTGTAAACCAGCCATGCCATGTGTTCATTGCCAACATGACAAAAAAGACATAGACCCTTCTTGCCTTTGTTCTAAAAGGAGCAAGACTTTTCAAGACACGAATGGGGACAGACAGTACCAAAGAAACCCAAAAGAGAATGAACCCACAAGACAAGACCATTTTAAAAAACACAGATAGATAGATAGATGATTGGGGCCTGCAGAGGGAGAGGCATTTGATCCCATGATGTCTGGTCTGGTTCCCCTTCCTATTCCTTGCTCAGTTGGAGCATGCACGTTTCTGTGTAAATTTTGGGGGACTCCAACAAGAAACGTAACCCTCCCTTCATAGGGAAAAGCTATGATGCTTTGCATTGTAGAAATGATATGATATGAAATGAAATGTTCCTCTTTGGAAGCAACAAAAATGTTAAACAAATGGTTCCAGTTGAAGCCCACTCCCAACTCACTGTGACAAGGGATGGGTTAAAATGATGGCCTGGTCTGCTCCTTGGGACAGACAGTAATTATATTTCTTTATCATTATATTTGTTTGTCATTCTCATTCTCATTCTCATTCTCAAGAGGTAGAGAGAGAGAGAGAGAGGGAACTGACCCTAGAACATGGCGCCCACCATCATGAACAGCCTGAGAAACAAGGCCCATCAGTCCCACGCTTCCACCTCCATACACCAAATCAATCCTTCTCTCCACCTTCATCCAAACCAACCAAACATTACTCCACACCCAAGCTTAATATTACACAATTACCAAAATAATGATCGATATGATGATAGTAATAATAATAAAAGAAAAAAAGAAGAGATACATAGATCAAATAAATTCCACATTAGTAGTAAACTAGAAACCCACACCATTACCACGTGTACAAGGCACTAACCCAATCATCAAAACCAACCAACAAATTAGGCCGAAATCGAGCCACTAAAAAATTATTGAAATTGGGTAAGAAGACTAAGGCCGAAAACCAAACCCATTAGTTTGAGAAAGGGCATAAACTTAATAACCCCGTCTCCCACGCCTAGAGGGAAGAACCCATCATGGGATGGAAGGGCAGCACGTCTGGTTCCCTAGACTAGAGCCAGGGCAGTGGCACCAAAAATGACACTGCTCTGCTCTCGTATTCATTCATTCGTATGTAATAATAATAATTAAATTAACAATACATACTTATATTGGTTAATTAATATCAAATTAATTATGTTTCTTCTAAAGCGTGGATCTAATCTGATCGATCCATCCATCACGAAAAGTTATAAAACAGAGAAACGGAATTATGAGAGGAAGGAAAGGATCATGCAAGAAGGCTGCTCAACTGACAGGCCTCTTACAGCTAGCTCCTAAGCACCCTTCGTGCCTCAACTTTAGTCTTTAGTAGAAGAAAACAAAAACACTAAATAAAAAAAATTAACAAAAACAAAAAAGGAAAGTAAAGGAAAGGAAATTCCCCGCCTGGCCTCCTCCCTCCCTATTCGCCTTACTTCGCTTCCTCCCATTACCTACCTAGGCTCGCCAATCATAAGCCCCACGTTGTTCCAGAAACCTCTGCCTCCCGCAGCTTCCTCTCATCACCACCAACAATATTGGAACGAAACTGAACACTACGCTAAAGAAAGAAAGAAAGAAAGACCCTTTTGTGACCAACAGATACGGTTACAAAAAAGGTCCGCTTAGAAGAACTGTGTTTGCCAACGCTCTGGCCGGTCCCAAAAACGAAAATGACCCAATTTCTATTTCTACGGGATGAAACAAAGTAGGGACTGAAGACCCACATCTCCTCTTCTCTCTTCATTGCGTCCGTATATATATATGATCCGCAATTGCATTGCATTGCACCACAAGGATCAAACAGACCGACGCAAGAGAAGAAGGAAGAAATGGGTACCATACCAACCAAACCATGGCTTTCAATTGAATACAGTAAGGGCATAATAAAGACAATGGGAGTTTGGGAAAAAACAAAATAAACAAGGGATATGAAATTACCAGTTCCTGGCCTAACTCAACCGCAGCTTCCTGGTAGGTGGCTTTCTTCCCTGAGCTGCTGCCACAGAAGACGCATATCCTTTTGAACCTCGACGGCGTCGTCTTTCCTTCTACTTCCATTCTATCGCTCTCCCTCTCTCTCTCTCTCTCTCTCTCTCTCTCTCTCACTCACTCTTCTCTCTTTTCCCCTCTGCTGTCTTGTCTGTGTTTGGGATTTGGGAATGAGAGGGGAGAGATTGCCTTTGGAATATATGTATATTTATATAGGTAAGAGTTTCTTTAATTTTAATGTATTATAAAATGTAAAATAAAAAATTGGAAAGGGAAGGGGAAGGTTGAAGAATAGGGGGAAAAGAAAACGGCGGCGGCGCGTGGCTAGGAGGGAAGATGAATGACAAGGCGCGGCGGCCGCGGCGAAGGAGGAGGAGGGCGGCGGTGAAAGAAAAAGCATATTATGCATTATAAGATTGTAAAATCACTTTCTAATGTTATGCTAGTTCTAAAGTTGTATGTTCTGATCATTGGTAATTTGGTATAACTAGTTTATATCAATTCATGTTGATTTTAGCTAATTAAATAAAAAAAAGTGTAAAATTATCAACACTAAATGAATTTAGACATATGTAGAAGAAATTAGAAAAAGACAATCTCTCAGAAATCTACATTCGTATTTAAACAAAATATAACATTTCAAACAAAAAAGTTCTCATATTTAAATACAACATTTAACGCTAACGTACAAATTTTTATACTTGATTCCAACAAATAATATAAACATTAATACTTGAATCTAACGAACAAAATATTCAACAAAAAAAAATCTACCAAATAACATCAATATTTAACTTTCAAATTCAAAAATCAAAGTTCAAATTATTTTTTATTAATTAAATTCACCAAAAGTGATACCTTTTATTTGAAATTCGAAGATTGATCATATCAAACGAATTTCACCAATTGTACTGACCAACATGTCACCGGCATGACAATAGTTTGCGATGAGAGGAAAACCCTTTTTGTACATTTGGTGAAGATGAAAGTATTGATCTTTATTTAATGTAACTACAATATCTTAGTCAAACCTTTCATTTTAAACAAAATAATATCCAAACCTCTTAAAAAAATAAAATAATAGTCAAATCGTTAACTTTTCATCCGTTCAAAAGTCAGTTGACTATGACGTGGCAAAAAGTCAATTGTTTGACTGTGCCACATGGATATATATGAATTTTAATTTATTATTTTCAAAAAAATTGAAAACCTTTGTCTCTTCCTTTTCCCTCAGTCTCCTCCGGCTCCATGCAACAAAACTATGTATCAATGTCCCCTCCCTCAACTCAAATTCATTGAACGGCGATCATACCCATCTTCCCTCCGGCGAATCCTGATCTCGTATCCTACTGCTCAATTTCGTTCCACAATACTTTATTAGAGGAATCTCTTGAGAAAGCGAAGATGACTTACACTCTGTAACACCCGACAAAACATGGCAGGATTGGCAGTGGATGTAACTATCACTGGAATGGAAATGGCTTTAGCGAGATAACAGAGAAGTTGGGAGAGAAAAGAAAGAATCAAAAGAAGAGAGAAAAGTAGGAAGTAAGGATTCTGTTATTATCATTAAGTGTCCCCCAATTAGTAGCTCTCATCTTTCTTTTATACAGTCAACAAAGAATACAATTGGCTTACACAAGTGTCCCTGTTAGTTGGATCATGAAAAATCTCCTCCCCTTGGCAAATGGCTTGTCCCAAAGACGGAAATGCAGGAAAACGCTGTCGGAAGGGATGAAGATCCTCCCAGGTTGCATAAGCAAGAGTTTGTTGAATCCAATTGACCAAAATTTATGTGATAGCCTGGTTATTGCGCTGGACGAACCGCCTAACCAGAATGGCAGCTGGAGCCAACTTTGGAGTTCCCTCATCATCCACATCAGGGAATTGGGATGATGCTAGAGGCACAATGGAATGGGATAGCTTCAGCCGTGATACATGAAGCACAGGATGAATCTGAGAGTCTTGTGGAAGATCCAAATGATAAGCCACCTCTCCAATAAATGCGAGCACAGTGTAAGGACCAAAATAGTGAGGACCCAACTTGGAAGGACCAAAATCTGTGCTCGGAACTCCGACAATCATCAAACTGTTTCTGACGCATCTGTGCAATAGTAAGATTGTGGCGAAGGAGTTGAGGCGAAAACAGACATGGTAAAGAGTGATATAGCACCACTCCACCAAGGTCAACCAATCAACCAAAGCTTGTGGTCATTGAATTGTCATGCACCGTGACTCGCTCCAACTATCACATAAAATCCCATCTAAGGTCCAATTATAAACCTTAGATGGGTGCAATATAGGCCAAGTATGTTTAAATATCAACCCGAGCCGTCCCATGTACCCCTACTTCGAACATTATCTAGCGGATTGTTGTTTGTTGAAATCTCTATAATCTACGATTTGAAAGCAAGACTTTGAAAAGTAATAGGGTGGAAAACTCTTGGTGAGAAGCTTCACCAGGGTGTTGCTTCCCCGTAACTAACTACCATGAACCGTGGGATCGAATGAATCGGTGTGTGACAACAAAATTGTGACCCGTAGGAGGTGCAACAATGGTTAGAAACCATCCTCTCAATTGCTAGGCCAAGGTAAGAATTAGAGGCTACAATTGTAGCCCTCTTGGCCGAAGCAATTGAGGGTTGACTTACATTCTCCCTCAAACCAAGGCTTGGACGGCGTAATCACAATCAACCTCAGTGTCTAATTCAAGTAGAGGTTTACCCTTCATTAACCTAGTTAGGAGGCACAGAATGCCTAAGAAAACCCATCTCAATTTTGAGCCTTTTAAGATAATGGGACTTCTCTCTAATCTAGGTTAGAATAGCACAATAGATTGTCAAGCAAACAATATGCACAATCACCATGAAAAATACCTCAATTCTTAAGTTAAACACCACCATCACACAATCATTCAATCCACACAATCAATTACATGATAGTAGTTAGGGTTCTAAAACACCCTAGTGGAAAGGGAAACTACTCCATGTTGGACAAAAGAAGACCACAAAAGAGGAAGAAAGAAACCATCACTGTGATGCCTCCAACTCTCCTTGTGATTGTAGAGATCCTCCAAAGAAGAGGAACTTCCCAAAATCTTCACTTGGAGCAAACCCTAGCCTCTTCTCCCTCTTGTTTCGTGACTTTCTCTCTCTAGGGTTTCAAGAAGAAGAAGGTTTCTCTCACTTTGGGCTCTCCCTTCTTCTTCCTTTCAGCTCTCCATTTATACTAAGATCGTGCCCAGTTCACGGCCGTGAACATCAGAACGCGTCCGTGAACTCAGTGAGTTGGATCAAAATGCACCACTTCACTCCTGGGGTTCACGGTTTGTGGTTCCAGGTCAGGGTCTTAGCGACCGTAAATTTCCTTGGAGTCAGTAACCTCAGAAACCCCTCCGGACGCTTCGCTATTAATGATTTGTGGTTCCAGTTGACGGTACTGGAGACCATGAACACTAATGTTGGACCGTGAACTCTGCTAATCCTCCTCTTTGCCCGGTCTTTGCTCCTTTTCTTCTAACTTTCGACTCCGAGGTTGGTTTGACCTTATCTTTCAACTTTCGACTACGGGGTTGGTTTCACCTGTTAGACTTTGAAACACTCCCCCACCCTTAAACGTTTGCTTGTCCCCAAGCAAACCATTTCGCACAAGGTAATATCTAAACCTAACAAAATGCTTTAGGGACAAATCAAAAGGCACAAAGTGGTGAATCTCAATGGCTATTGGCAATTAACACATGGACCATTGTAAGCAATACCGACATCTACCACAAATGACAATCAAGGTCCACAACTAACCATGCATAACATTAAAGTCCAAGGAACAAACGAATGGGCAACAAAGGTCCTCGCTGGTGTATGATATGACATGCAAAGCAAGAATGAATCAGTCTCTCTTGACCAGTGGGGTCGGTATCTTTTTAGTGAAAAGAATGTGCACAATCATCAACACTCAGCCCTATCGTCTCTTCACCACGGCGGCATCCTCTAAATGTTAGAGTTCACAGGATGGTTGTCATCACTAGCTTGTCCGGAGGTCTTAGACACGGGTTCAAATGACTGGCAATTGTCTTGGACATGGGGAAAATGATTTTGGTTGGTGGCAAACACAACATGAGGTCCTACATCTTCACCCTAACCGTAAGGTTCTATGGTTTCGCTAAGAACCTACCCTACAAACAATGGCCACTAGCATCGGCCAGAAACCTTGCTTCTCCCTTCCAAACTATCACGCATCATGAACTACCTTTAAGCGCTCTTCCTCGGTCTACTCTTGCTATCACATTTCGACTTGGTAGTGAAGGAGCTCAACAACAATGTGGGGGTTTCAATTGCTTGAATCCCGAGAAACCCCTCCTAGAGCATACTGTTTGATTTTTGTGGCACTCTCTACCCTATTTACGCAGTTTTATTACCTCTTTTTCTATTCTTTTTCTTTCTGCTTTCCTTTTCTTTCTTTTTCTCTTTTCTTTTTGAGGAGGGTACTAGAGAGTAAAACACATGTCACATTACATTTATCAACCAATGCTCTCTTTTAAGAACTTACTCCAACACTACTCTTTTCTCTTTCCTTCCTAGCAAGAACTGCACACAATCCTCCTATGTAGAACCTTAATGGAACTCAAAGTGAGAGCTCCGTGACACAAGGACGACTCACGTATATACACGTGTTGCAACCATCCCTCCAGGGGTTGTCGGGGTCGTCGCGTTCGCTTTTTGGGAGTCGCCATCGATCTTACTTGGAGTGGATCGAACACTCTTCGAATCGGCTCTAACCTTAGGGCCAGAACTGAGATATGGTTTGCGGTTAAGAGATTCGGGTTCGGGAGTACGGTTACGTGTGAGGAAGTAAAATTACACCCCACAACGCCCTAAATCGGTACTACTTAAGTCGATAATTTTTATATGTGTTGGGTGTTATTTTGGTAATTATTGTGTATTTTAAAATCCCACTGGATCATTAATATATTTCTTATGACTTAATTAATACGTCAATGGACGTTTAGTTCATGATTAGGTATTTTAGATATTTTTAGGGCCTTACTGGACCACTAAATAAATTAAATCGTATTAATTGTGATTTAATTATACTCCCACTGACGTAAAAATTAAAAGATAAAATTGATTGGTTAGTTGGACTCGAACCTTATAGGTTGCCTACGTACCCGTTAGACGAGATCAAAGCCCACGTAGTTTGTTAGGAACTTTGATCATTTTAATTATGACTTTTACCATGTTCCAATGAACGTAATTTTTGTTTTAAAGATTTTGTTACTAAAACTTCATATAGATTATTATGAGGTTATGACAATAAGTGCAAGTATTTTAGTTATCAGGAAGTATTTTGACGTATTGGAAAAAAAAAGAGATAAACTTAATCCCCATTCTACATTTCGTATTAAGAACTTTAAACAAATAAAATTAAACGAGATGGTTAATTTACCGCATGACGGGCCAGCAGCCTAACTGGCTAAGTTGCCAGTGTCGAAACGCACTCGCTCCACTGAACGAAGGTTTGAGACGCGCTAACCACCATTTTTTTTATCTGTCGTTTTATTTCAGAGAAGGGGGAAGGGTAGTTTCGAACATTCATCAAAACACGGTGGCAGGGGGCAAAAAATATTTGAAAACCCTAGGGGTAATCTAGTCATTGTAATTGACGAGGTATATAAAACTCTCTTAAATGAAACCCTAACCCATTATACACAGATCAAGCGGCCACCGCCACTCTCTCTCTTTCCTCCCTAATCCTCTCGTTCTCTCACTCTCGCCTTTCTTTCTCACTCCCAAAAAAGATGAAACCCTAGCCTAAACAAACCCAAACGGCCGCCTCAACTCCTCTCTCTCTCTCTCTCTCTCGACCCTCTATCACTCTCGTCTCTCTTCGTCTCCTCCAGAGAGAAGAAGGCGAAACCCTAGCCACCCAAACAACGTAGGCGTCACTCTCTCCTCTCTTCTCTCTCTCTCTCTCTCTCTCTCGCGTTCTCCCTCTCTAATCCGAGAAAGGGAAACCGACAACCTAGCTCTCTCTTCTGTGCCTCCGTCTTCTCCTTTTCTTGGCTGGCCAAGGGAATCGCTCGTATTCAAGTTAAATCAACATAGAAGGTCTCGATCTAGGTAAGATCCTAGACATGCATGTTCTTTATTTTTGGTTCGATTGTGTCTTTTTGTGAAGCTTTGATTTCTGATTTCTTTTTGCTTATTATGTTTTGTTTTTGGGACTTGGACGAGGAATGGAGAGGGATCGTCGTCAGTCGAGGCCGCACCGCCGGCGGCAACAGGAACGCCGACGACAGCAGTGTAAATTTTTTTTATTTTTCTTTCCTTTTTCAATTTTCGTTTACTTCGATTTGGATTGGTTCTGACCCTTCTTTATTTTTGCAGATTTGAAGAGAGATCAGATCTGGGTAGATGTTGATTTGCATGTGTGTTTAATTTGTTTTTTATTTAGGACTGGGATTCTAACGTTTTGTTTGTGGGTTTTGGGAGTCAGATTATGCAACCGTGGACGATGGAGACGGCGGCATAGGATGTTCCGCCCGCGGCGACTGAAGGGTATGGTGAGCGTTTTTGTTATTTTTTTATTTGATTATCTCTTAGTTTATGGTTTATGATTGTCTTATTTTATTTGATGCAGAGTTTGAGGAAAGACGATTTAGGTGAGGTTCTCCAAACCTGACTCTTTATGGTTGGGGAGGTCGAACTAGGAAAAAAAAACTAATATTTATTTATGGATTTGAATATGATATACAAATTTGATTTTTTGGATTAAAAATCTGAATTCGAATGGAATGATTCTGAAAGGATGAATGAATTCATTTATGAAATCTAGTGGATTCGGTTATAGCTCTTGATATGCTAGAAATCGGTAAGAAAATAATTTTATTTGTAGAGAAGAAGAAAAGTAATTAACATGCTCAACGATTGCTAATATTGACGATTATAGATCACTGCTACCGCTTGTGATTTACTAAGCTATGAAAAGACGATTATAGATCACTGCTACCGCTTGTGATTTATTAAGCTATGAAAATGAAGTTTTCAGTATGCATATTATCATGGCTCGATTGAGATTAAGGGTATTTTTGTGGGTTTAATTTTTGAAAGTTCTGATGTATGCATTGCTGGTTAAGATATAAAGTATTTGTATTTAGATTGTTATTCGCTTGTCTTGACACGAGGGGAAAGGGCAAATCTAGTGAACTATAGGTCTATGTTTGGAAAAATAAAAGAAAAGCAATTCAGAGCCGCTCTATTAGGTGGTAAACGAGTAAGCTAGTAAGAAGGAAAGTGTAATCTAAATGCCGCTATGTACCACACATCAAACATAGTTAACCTGACTAGTTAGCATATCCCTATTTCCTTCACTCCACCCTTTTTTCCAGAACCGTCCCCCCCCCCCCCCCCAAACTTGAGATCCCAAAGAGCTCTTTAATAGTAAAAGAAAGTGCCACATTTCATGCTGTGATTGATGATGAGCATGACGTGCTTCCCTCTAATTGGTTGAGCCTCAAGGCTGCATCTGATGCCTCCATCTGTAAAGTGGGTTGCTGAGTGGCCATGTTGGTGAGCTCTTGGTCGGGTTGGGCTCACGTCATGGGCTGAAACTTTTTTTTTGAAATATGGGCCTGTGTTAGCTTACTCTCTTCTTTGTTTTGCAGCTTGCTGGTGTGGGCTCTTCATGTCTATCGGGCCTTTGCTTTCTTAGATTTGTAAACTTGGTTGATGTTTAGGAGTGTACTAAATTTTGTAATGATGTTGGCTTTTAAATTCCTCCTCAATAATACAGTATTGTACTTTCCTTGTGTATTCAAATCCCTTGTGCATCAAACCTTGACATTGAACTCGAATTGTGTGTCAAACCTTGACATGTAACTCGAATGCTTCGTCTCGTACTAAACTTGAATGAAAGATCGTACTCTTGTTTAACATGAACCCTTCTTAGACTGGTGATAGACAGCTTTATTGGTCCGAAGGTGGCAATAGGTTTTGACCCAGACAAAATGTGGTGTCTACAACACGAAGAGAGGATGGGGGATCGTTCGATCAAACACCATTAAGCTCACAAGCAAAAAGCTCCTACAAGTGAACGACCCCCAAAGTCACAAGGCTCAAAGGGGTTGGCTAGGGGATAAAGCATTTCGGGACAATCAACATTTGGGCGTGGATTAATCATATGCCTCCATCATACTCACTAGTGACAACTGTGATGTTATTCGTCATGGTAAGAGGGATCTAAGCACGCAAGAAGAAAACGAGCGGCTCAAAACTCACACGGCTACCTAGTCACCAATCATCCATTCCAATTCTAAAAAACACAATTCATGGCTACCTAGTCACCAATCAAGACTTCCATTCATTTTTGCACACATGAGAACTAAACCTCTGCACTATCCTAATTCACCTCTCAGTCATCATTATAGGACACACTTGATCACATGCAACAATTCAAGGCCAATGCCAATAAACACGAGATTCTCCTACAAACCGGCCACTTTGATCATGCAAACATTGCTTGGAGACCTCAAATTTTTAAAATTTGGGCAAACATCAAGGCGGGAGGTGACTCCCATAACATGAGTCTCAAGACGGTCCATCCTCTCCTCGAGGTGCACCCCGGAGGTGGAAGGACCGACACCTGATGATGATGCTGCTGGTGGTGGTGCTGGGCGGTGGAGCTCGGGACACCGGTGGCGGCCGGGAGCTCGAGCAGGTGGCTGCTCTGGAAGAGGGACCCCTGGTGGTAGAGGCACTCCCTCTGTTATGGGACAATCCAAGTACCACATCGGTAATGCAAGGTAAGTAACCCTTGTATATTAGTGTCCACCAAGCTCATTAGTACGAGGCCTTTTGGGGAGGATACCCAAGAGCAAAATCATGTGGGCTTGGCCCAAAGCGGACAATATTTTACTAATTGAGCACCCCGGTTATGACAAGTGGTCTCAGAGCCTGGTTCGGTTCGGGGCGGTGGACGTAAGTTTGGTGGACCCTCATTTGGTGGCCTCGGGATTTGTGATCCACGTCTGTTTGGCAGATCAAAGAGAGTTCTGCGTCTGGGCTGTTTGGCAGATCCAAGAGAGATCCACGTCTGTTTGGCAGATCAAAGAGAGTTCCGCGTATTGAAAAATCCTTGTAACGGGAAGCCCATCAATACATGGTGTCTGGCGGATCAAGATAATCGCTGAGGTGAGAAGTTCGTGGTCCTTATCTGGAGAGAAGGATTGTTATGGGACAATCCAAGTACCACATCGATAATAAAAGGGAAGGGACCTTTGTATATTAGTGTCCACCAAGCTCATTAGTACGAGGCATTTTGGGGAGGACACCCAAGAGTAAAATCGTGCAGGCTTGGCACAAAGCAGAAAATATCATACTAATTGAGCAGCTCGGTTTGACAAGTGGTATTAGAGCCTGGTTCGGGTCTACGGCGGTGGACATCAGTTTGGTGGACCCTCATTCGATGACCTTGAGATTTGAGATCTGCGTCTGGTTTGGTGGATCCAGGAGAGATCTACGTTTGGGCTTGGCGGATCAAAGAGAGTTTCGCATTTGCGAAGCAGATCAAAGAGAGTTCTGCATCTGGTAAAGTTCTTGTATCGAGAATCCCATCGATTCAAGGCATATGGTTGATCAAGATAATCATTGAGGAGAGAACACGAAGTTTGTGGTCCTTGTCTTGAGGGAAGGATTGTTATGGGACAATCCAAGTACCACATCAGTAATGCAAGGGAAGGAACCCTTGTATATTAGTGTCCACCAAGAGGTCAATATCGTACTAATTAAGCACCCCGGTTATGACACCCTCAATGAACCTAATTGGTCCAAATGATCCCAGCAAACACATGGAAAACAAAGTTCCCTCTTCGAACCCCATGGAGTGCCCCTCATATGTGACGCCTGCCAGATTGACATTCAAGTGATGAGCATGATGGGTAATGTAGGGCCCCATTGATGTGATATATCATCGATTTCACCATATGGCTCTGGCAAAGAGGTGGCCAAGACTGTACCAAGATTAAGATTGCTAGACGGATCCACCATGCAAGCAAACACCAGCAAGATCCTCTCGGTTATCTTGTTTAGATTGTGATAGCTCGGGTAGAGGGAACGGTTAAGGAGTACATTGATGATGCACCACTGTGGCTTGAGTGTGGACGCCAACGTGAGTGCCGATCGAAACGGTGTTCGTCGGTGCTCCGGGAGGCAAAACCTTCAAAATGATGCATTCATGTCGCAAACTCTGATGGCGTCCTCTTCCCATTCTGCCTCACTCCCGTCGTAAACTCTCAAGGATCGGGCAAGCTGGTCAAAAGTTAGGGTGTGCAATTACCCTCCCAAGTGGAATGTCACCTTGTGTCGCGGATCGGCGAACGTGCTCTTACTCGTAAAGATGGTGAAGGTACTGAAAAACTCGACACACAACTCCCCATAAATGTCATCCTCCATTTCAAGGAGTCGGCGCCATTGTGGGTGCGCCACATCCTCCCTAATGATATATGCACAGTGAAGACCGCCGAATTGAGTGAAGTCGAGTTTCCAGTGATCTCTAGAGTTAGTGCTTGCCCAGAATCTCAGCTCCCTTTCCATTTTGGGGTTCCCTCTCAGTGCCAAAAGGTACGGCTGGTTCATGCTGAATTTCCTGCAAAACCGACAAACATGCACCATACGTGGATATAATTGTCAATCTCAACTCATTGGGAGGAAAAAGGATTCCCCCCACACTTATATTTCCACTACGGCTCCATGCCATTTGAAACAATTAAGCACAAGCATACCGAGGCATGGTTCTAGGTGTTTCACGGATCATTCACCCAAAAATTAAACCTGAACCATGCCATGATGGCTACCATCCACCACTCAAGCATAACAATTGCACTTTCATTCACAAATTAGCACTTGGTGGGAAAATTCCAAAAAAAAGAGCAATTCGAATCAAAACATGCCCACCAAGGCTCAACTAAGCTCATACAAACATCATTCAATCATTCAATCACCACAATTCACTTAATTCCTCGCCCTATTGCTAAGTTCAACATTCAGTTCACTAAAATTCTCCTTACTTCACTACCTAATCTGATTCTCCCAAATTAATCAAGGCCGCTCATGACGAGGGGAGAATGGTTCTGCTATTGGATTTTGATTTGGCTCGCCAGGAGTGGGTGAAAAGGGCGAAATTTGTCGGATAATTGCATTTTTCCGGCGAATTGGAAAGGATTCCGGCGAGTTTTGGGTCGTGAAGTGAGGAAAAAGCGTTCACGGCCCTTTTATAGGCAGACCCTGAGATTCACGGACGCGTTTGCCAGTTCACGATCGTTAAGACCATGAACATCGCAATCCGTCTATGAACTGGGGAAAACTGGTGGTTTTGACACACATGGAAACACCCTTGTTCACGGACCCGTTTGATAGTTCACAACCCATCAAGACCGTGAACAAAGCAATCCGTACGTGAACTGCAGTGAAAACAGGGCATTTGCGAAAATTGTTACTCGACCTACTCCATCGTGCCTACTATCATTCACGAGACAACTTAAAACACACAATCACAAAAACCTGCAACAGGGATAACAATCGACCACTTGAACTCTTCACTCGACACAAAAACAAAAATAAGGAAAAGAAAACAAACCTACGATGGGTTGCCTTCCAACAAGAGCTAAGTTAACGTCACTAGCTTGACGTTGCGGATCTATTACGCCTTTGAACGTGATGCCACCGAGAGTGGATAAGCCACGATCTCGAGGCGAGGCGTGTCGCCTCCCAACTTACTCTCCATGGGATGGTCTTCTTGGCCGATGACTTTCGCTTTTCCCTTTTCCTTCCTATGGGCATTAGCATGATTTATCCTTTCACGCCAAGCTTTTTTCCTTCCTTCTTTGGGCGAGATGCCCTCTTAGCTTTCCTGCTTCACATCATCACAAGGAACAATAGTAATAGTGCGGTTTACCTTGAAAGGTTCTCCTCCACTTGCATTCATATCACCCGGTTCTACTTTCTTCACATCCTCACTCCTAAGCTTAGGTTCAATTCCAGGAGTAATTCTCTCATCACTATCCCTCACAATCAAAGTTCCCTCATTTACATCAATTAAAGCCTTGGCGGTGGCAAGGAAAGGGCGTCCTAGTATGAGTGGCATCTTAGAATCCTCACTTATATCCAGGATCGCAAAATCCATCGGATAACAGAATTTTCCCACTCATACTAGCACGTCCTCCACAATGCCCCTAGGACTAATGACAGAGCGATCGGCCTATGTGACACTAAAATGGCATCACATTTTTGCTCTCCCCTAAGTCCGCAAAGGATTTTTCTATGTGATGAGTGCCGATCCAAAGAGGTATGCTGAAACTACCTGGATCGGGTTATTTCTTGGGCATGTTGTTGAGGATGAAGGCTGAGAACTCCTCGCCTAGGGTGACAATGGCGAGCTCTTCGAACTTCGGCTTCTAGGAGAGAAGCCCCTTGAGGTATTTTGAATACCTTGGCATGTGGGCCATTGCCTCAAGGAAGGGAATGTTGAGGTGGAGCTTTCGGAGCATCTCCATGAAACATCCACATTCCGCTTCCAATCTTTCAATGTGCAAACTCGTGAGAAAATGTAGGGGTGGCGTGTACTCAACCACAGGGGGTGGCGTTGGGGATGCCTTCCTCGCCACTCCTCTCTTTTCTCCCGAGGTTTCTTCTTCTCCACCCTCGGGAAGGGTCTTCCTTCTCATTCACTTCTTTGGCAACTACCTCTGGAGTCACCTTCCCACTTCTCAAATGAATTGTATTCACCCCGGCATGATC